GCAGCTGGGCGGATCCCGGCACAATTGTCGGGATCCGCTTCAGCTGCGGCGTCTCAGTATACCGCGAGCTGTAGCTCGCGGTATACTGAGCTTAGGGTAACGGGAGGACGCCAGTTTGTGTCCTCCCGTTACCCTAAGTAGAACTATGGGGAAAAGCCTTAACCCCATAGTTCTCCTTTAATGCTGTTCTGAAAACAGTGGATCCAACCTGGTACTAGCAAGGAGTACCTAATAAAAAGTGGCCAGTAAGTGCATATACAAAATAATATATTGATAAAAGCCCCACGAGTCCCTTTCAGAATTCTGGGTTCTTCCTTTCATGATTTTAGCAAGAATACATACACACCAAACACCCAGAATGTATTTCCAATCTACTGTATATATGTTCCCATGTGTCTCCAATGCATGTGCATACCTCAATGTATCCTTATGCATTATACCTAGGCCCTTCCTAGGTATAAGGGCCTAGGTAGCAAACTTCCTACAAGTGCAAGTCATCGGGTCAAGCTCCGTTCCTGAATTGTTTGATCGCTGTTCGTTTGTATACTGTGGCCATCTTGTAAGTGTTTTTAATTTAGTATACGGAGCATTGAGATATATGGTCAAATTCATCTGGTGGCACTGGGATTTACGAATACTGTTGATGATTATTACACTTTAATCTATTTTTGTTTCGAGAAATGGACACTTTTGTGTGATGAACTTTATATAGAGACGGACACTATTATGTTTTTTTTTTAAAGGAGAACTATGAGATGAGTGCTTTTCACTCACCTCATAGTTCTAACCGACCTGTGACAATGAGACTGTCACAGGTCGGCTCAGTAGATCGGGAAGTGAGCAAACACATACCAGGTTCGCTCACCTCTCGATCCTGTTACGGCTCTCTGCCGTGACAGGGGGAGGGGCTGGATTCCCCTCCTCTCCCCGCTCCGATCTGCCAGCGCTGACTGGCGGAACGGACGGGGGAGGGGGTGGGTACAGCTGGCTCTGCCTCTAGATAGGCAGAGCCAGCTGTCACTAACGCAGCTGGGCGGATCCCATCATCTACGTCGGGATCCGCTCCGGCGTCTCAGTATACCGCGAGCTATAGCTCGCAGTATACTGAGCTTAGGGTAACAGGAGAACGCTAGTTTGTGTCCTCCCGTTACCCTAAGGAGAACTATGGGGAAAAACACTGACCCCATAGTTCTCCTTTAAGTATCCTATTATTGGAGACATTGTTACACTGATTAGTGGTTTAGTTTGATTTATGCATTTTGTCATTCTTTTAGCGCAGTGCATTTGTTTTTACACATTTACAGGCAGTCCCCGAGTTACATACGACTCCTACTTACAGACGGAGGCTATTACTGTACAGCAGGGGTATTTGTAATGCTACCATGCTCGTGCCGACGAGGAGTGCCCGCCTTTTTGGGTCTGGTTTCTAGTACTGTACATACATTACAGTTGGCTCTTATTAGATGTGCATACGAGGGGTGCCCGCCTCTTCTTCCAGGTCACTGAGGTTTTTACTGCTGTCTGTATCCTCATTAGAAAGATTTAATCCCACTTCCTGTCCTTGAGACAACAGAAGTGAAAGGAAATCTACCCCTAGGAATGGAAATTTACTCATGTAAGAGTGATCATGAGAAAAAAGTGTCTCCACTGAAGCTTTATCACCAATCCTTGTGTCCATGACAACCCAAAACTTTCAAAATCCAATTGTCACAGTGCCAGAAAGTGAGGTAAAATCTTCTGAATAGGGACAGCTAAACAAACTTTTCAGGGGGGCAAACCCTTCCCTATGCTATCCAAAACAACAACAACTTTTTTGGGCTTGAGTTACACTTAAAAGATGTACCTGTTCCAACTTACATACAAATTCAATTTAAGAACAAACCTTCAGTCCCTATCTTGTTCATAACCCCGGGGACTGCCTGTATATATGATTAGCATGGCAGCTTATTATTAGTTATAGGATTTATTAACATGAGGCTTTAGGTTGAATGTTAGCGCGGTGCATCACCATTTCTCCAACCAGTGTGTGTGACTGTCATGATGATCACATGGTCAGAAGGCCACTGTTTTGGGAGCACACCAGTAAGCACAGGGCAGAGGGCACACCATGCCACGGCATATTTGTTTTACGCTGGTGGGAACACTTTAAATACTTGTTGATCTTGCTATGAAGGTCCTTTGTTTAGGCAATTCCTCTAAAGACAATTTTGCTCCTGCATGGCCAGCTGTCACATGGAGACTACAAGAAGCCATGCCATTACACATTATGCAGGCACGGCTTACACCATTGTCATTATCAGGAAACTGATCCAGAGCAGTTTGTGCAGCCGATGCTGGAATGCAGGACCCGAAAAGGATAAAAAACACACATCAATCGTTTATGATAAACAGCTCTTTAGCAAACCACCTTTTGTCGCTCAGTTTGGGTTTACATTTACATCTTAACTGTAAAAAAATGGTTTGTCACGAAAGGTGGAGTGACTGTTCAAGCCCACATGTGTGTGAATGAGTAGGTGTGGAGGAAAAGAAATGCTTTTTGTATAAATACATATTTTGTGAACACGGGATTATATCTTCAGACCAAGCAGTATTCAGAACACAGACAAAATGTTTGTACAATAAAATGCACCAAGAGGTATTTATTTGCAGAATAATTTGATGATTCATTCCAAACCATTTGCTGCATAAAAGAAAAAAAAAATTGCAAGTAAAAATTGACATTTAGCTTTGCTAAGATGGTATAAAAGTGTAAATTATTTTATAGGATTTAAAACTTAACATTAAACCCCAGACAAAATTCTTAACATTTTGGTAAAAGTAGGAAGGCTTAGAACCTTTCAGGTACTTATTGCTTTGCCTATTTTGGGGTGATTTCCTGGATCTCTTTCTGCAGCCCCAGCACTCAATGAACAGGAAGCTTCCCAGTACAGAGGATTCCGGGTTCATTCACAAACTGGAGATGGTATACCATCAACTAGACTGATTCGGACGAACCTGCAAATCAACGAAATTCAGTTGATTTGGCGGTTCATTCGAATCCAAAATAACACATTATATGCCCAAATATACTAAAACTATATTCGAGCATACATACATTTGTTTGCAGAACGCATGTTGTCCATATTGAACGCCGTCGTGTTCTGCTCAGGCGCGCCGCCATCTTTGAGTATATCTTAGTATACACCAAGATGGCGGCACCCGAACATACGGGTGCCGCCATCTTGGTGTATAACAAGATATACTCAAAGATGGTGGCACGCAAGCACATAACGCGCTGGCGGCCGGCATGGCCACCGCTCGTTCTGCATTTTCTGTGCGACATCACAGGCTGAATGAACTGTGACCTGAAAACCCGAATATGTACAAAATCCATTCGAAAATATTTTTTATACTCAAACAGTAGTTAATGCTTGGAACAGACTTCCAGCAGAGATAGTGAGTCATTCTAAAAATGCTTGGGACAAACGTAGATCTATACTCAAACAAAAGGGGAAAAAAGTGGGAAGACTATGGACCACTTAGTTATTTTTCAGCCCTCATGCTTCTATATTTCCATTACAGCAGCCAATCAAATCGGTAACCATATGTGGCAGGTGGTGGGAGAATGGTGATAGAGGATAGAAATGGGCAAAAAAAAGGTGTAAAAGGTAGACGCAAAAGCAAACTACACCCAATTACGGTAGTACTCTAGAAAGATTGAGGAAGCATTTCAAAAACTTGGTGAACGGTCAAAACCACTGAGAAGTATTTTGCTGTGTCCCATTGGGTTTTCTTCACGGCCTGTCTAGAGACAAATGTGAGAGGAGATCTCGCCAAAGTAAGGACTATGCTCAGAAAGTTGTCACCAGAACAAGGCTTCGCTTTGGAAGATCTCTACTCTATTCCTTTTCAAGTGGCAAACATAAGTGTTGGCTTTTCCCTGACTTTCAAGCCCACTGACCATGTTTACCAAGACAAAGTACATCCCCCCACATAGGGACACTGGCAGCAGAGGTCCTAACCCTTCCCTACTCCAAAACTAAAAAGAAAATAGATTGACTTTAGATACTCCAAGAGAGAAAACAAGGAACTATGGGAGGTACTTCATAAAAGGAGACACTATTCTGGCATTATGGCAGCAACTATATCCCTAGAGCCCTGAATTCATAACACGGTAGTGAAAGTTCCATAGTCCTGACACTTGGTTCCTACTTGCAACATTTGTCTAATGTGTCGCTATGACCCCAACAAATTTATCAACACATACCCCCATTTTGGAGTCAGGAAAACTGGAGATAATTAAGACCAATGCCATTTTGGAGCAAGCAGGCTTTTCATATGCCAATAGTGTAAACTTTGGATTTGCAAAAAATGATAGGATCCTGTGGAATTGCCAGATTTGGTTATTATGGACTACATTTACACTTAATAGCGATTCACGAGGATACCATCGTGTAAACTGCCAATGCCAACGTATTTTTTTTAAAAGGACCTAAAGCTTAAAAGCTTCTCTTTACATTTTTGGAAAAGGCTAGAACCTCTGTCTGGTTTTCAATGCAATCAGTCTTCCCGCTGGAGAGGTTTACTCTTTGTCCAGCCGATGTCACTGGAAAAAAACAAACTGTAATGGTCACCAGGAACAGAAAATATATATTTTTTAACAATGGGGACACTTGCTCAGGTGACAACACTCCAAGAGGCAAATTCCAATGCTTTAAAAGGGATCTAAAGGGGATCTCATTCTTACTGGGTGTAAAATACAGGAAATGTAGAGAATCTCTAGTGTGACACCGATAAACGTTTTGGCTTAAGATGTACTTTAATGGTGCAGTTATCCCAATATTGACTTCATTGCCTACCAAATCACTGATTTAAACCAGAATGCAGAGCTGCAACTATTCAGACATCACCATATGCTTGCATGTTTAAAGTCAGTGACTTACTAGGTATTGTAGTCAGGGTCAGGATTAGCAACTTCTTAAGGAAAGTGTATCCTCATCACAGGTTTTAACATTCTACAGTTATTTGAACCAGTTGACAATACTTGGACAAGTCCTATAAGGAGGAGCCTCTTTCACTGCTTTGCATACTTTGCAGTAGTCAGCCACCCAAATACTTGTAATCTGTGATGGCTTATAATTGGCTCTCCAGTTGAAATACTTGTAGTAACGCTCATCATCCCGGTCCAGACTCAGAAGATAGGAAGCCAGTTCTTGGGGGGATGAAAAGTCATCGACATGAATGAAGGAGTCAGGGGGGATGAAACGCTCATAGTTCTTCTGCGGAGGGCCCATTACCACCGGCACTGTTCCCACGCGGAAAGCATTGAACCAAAGCTTTTCTGTGATGTAGTCTTCGTGAGCATAGTTCTCGAAAGAAAGGTAGAATTTATATTCGGACAGAGATATTTTCTCTTTTGGCAACTCCAAATTGTTCTTCCCGTAGACATCAACGTGAATATACTTCTTCATCTGGTTATAGTACTGTATTCGCCTGAGCACTGGATTCCAGTTACTAGCTACCCAAGCCACAAGCTTTGTTTTCCGAGGTACTGTAAAATTTTCTGTTCCATCATTCTTTTCAATCCAGCCATAAGGGGTAAAGATATCAGAGTCCAACCTGTAAGACATAGTGAGGTTGAAGATATTGTCCATCAGCGTGAGGTTGCTGAGATGCTGTGGAGGTTCCAAATTAAACCAGATCCAGTATTGACCAGGTGGTCTGGGCATTAGTGACAAGTCAGATACTGACTTGGATATATCCCTGTGGTTCATAACTACAGCACTTGCGACAGAGTACATGCTGTGGTTCACTGTGAAGAAACAGCCAGATGAATCGACTGATGGAGGGCATTGGTTGAGAGGGAAAGTGTGCTCTGAAGGCCATGTCCAAAGAAGGATTATCAAAAGGGTCAGTAGACTCTGTAGGCATCAAATATTCCGGTGTAAAAGGATTTTCAGTCACCATTGACTGATTATCTGAAATGGCCAGAACTTCCATTGGCTGATCATTTTTGGTTTCTTGTTTCCAGTTATCAAAATAGACAGTAAATAATAAATAGGTGATGAAAGCTTGAAATATTAAACTTATAAATACACAAGTCCATCTGCTCCACCTATGCGACTGTCCCACAGAGCCCATTGAAAAGCTTTTGGCAAACTCCGGTTTGAGGCTTGCTACAAGCTGGATGTTTTTCAGTAGGTCCAACCTAAGAAAATGAGATATAAAGTGCATGTTAACAAAATAAGTCAATTGTGATACTCCATATCAATATTTTTATGTACAAGGAGACCAGGGCTAACGCAATACCTGTGCTTACGTAGTAGAATCTCAATAGATAGAGGGAGCCAAGTTGGAAGTGCACATAGTGAGCTCGATTGAAGATTGTTTGCCCCAATATCTAGCTTTAATAGATAAAGGGGGGTGGGGGGGGGTTAAGTTGGAAGTGCACCTAGATCTATGGATGCCTAAGCGATTGTGACCACATATGTTAATTTCCACTACCTTGCTCAGTTTCAGGCAATGGAGGGGATCAAGTAGGGATGACTTAAAGAAACACACTCAATATTAAATACATTTCCTATGTCCAATATCCAAACCCTTTGACTGGGGGTTTCAGATACCTATGGTATTCCTTTACTTAGAGACAATGGCTGTTCCGTGGCAAGAGTGTGAATGTGTGGGACAAACTTCTCTTGCATTGGGGCCTTTGGCAGTCTGCTTCATTACAGAAAATGGGCTATATCACAGACCAGAGATCCATAACAATCCCGGTGAAATGAAATAATTGGCTGCTACTAGTTTATATGATATAAAAGCCATGTGCTAAGTAACAGGGTAAGCGTGTCACTGTCCTCGGGCAACCGGCACATGCATAATATTAAAAAGACTGAACAAATGGCTCCCTATAGAGCACGGGTGCACAAATTAATATGGAATTCAGAAGCCAGTCTTTCCACTCCAGGAGCCCGGAGGATTTTTTTTTTCTATTGACAAATAGAGAAAACTCAAGCTGTCAATTTAAAAAAAAAAAGAGGATTGGCTACCTGGCTTCTGGGATTGTCCAGCCCTGCTATAGAGAAGCCTACACAGGTTACATGCAGCAGTATCTTTAGCAAACTACATACATGGAGCATTGTCCAGTCATTTGAGCTATAGTGTTACTACATGCTAATTGAAGCTAGCTCTATAGACAACCATTTGTTTAATCTGTCTAATCATGTCCTACACCTTGTGATTAATCCTCAATGATGTTAGTAGCGAGACTAAAGTCACTAACAATCTGTAGATCTGACCTTTTCAAATGACTGCAAGAGAGTGGTTAAAGCTTTGTAGCAAGGGATTACAGGAGCTCCGTGTGCTCCTTACAAATGAAAGCTGCCTCCTAATTTTTGAATTTTTCTCTAGTGTAGTCTTGGAGCTCAAAAGTATTGGTACTTGTACTCTTACTTGTACCGAGTACTGTACTTGGTATCTGTGCAACCCTAGTTACTGATAAGAAAAAATTTACACAAATATGACAGACAATCCTTAGTTGCACATAAACCATATGACTGAGATTAACACCGCAACTAAGGATTGTCTGTCATATTTGTGTAATTTGTTTCTCATCAGTAACAAGCTGGCCAAATCGGAGAGCACAGACATGGGTTATGCCGAACACACCGAGCCGTTTTAGGTGGTTCAGACGAGAAAGTTGCACAAGGTTCAGAAAGAAAGGTAAAAGCTGGCCATACACCTTACAATTATCTGCAGATTTTATGTGGTCAGATGGAAAAAGTGCAACAGATTGGCCCAGGTGGAGATTACGCCATCCACACTGTTAAGTGTAGATGGAGGAATCTGTTGCACCTTTTCCATCTGACCACAGAAAATCTGCAGATAATTGTAAGGTGTATGGCCAGCTTTAGAGTGGGGGCAGCAGTCATCCTTATCTAATGCATCCATCCCCGCTTGTACCGTGATTTATATATTTCTATCTGTGGCTTGATTTCACACTCCCTGAAGTTACAAGTGCACATGGACTGTGCTGCCCCTCTACTCCCTGCTGCCCTGAGGCCATGGCCTTGTGGGGAATCCAGCCCTGCTTATTTGTGTATCACTCAGCTGCAGATCCTCCAATCATCTCTGAATTGGTGCCGACACTGTCCGTCCTTCTGGAGGGGGGCTACTTTTGTTCCCCATGGTCCCTGTGTGTGTTGTGATGTAGTCACCGCTCCAAGCTCACTCCCGGGATGGACAACAATCTCAATACAAATGAGTAAACTAAACATGGAGATTGTAGACCATCACGGGAGCGAGCTTGGAGCGGTGACTACTTTACAACACACACAGGGACCATGGGGAACATAAGTAGCCCCCCTCCAGAAGGAAGGACAGTGTCAGCACCAATTCAGAGATGATTTGGAGGATCTACAGCCGAGTGATACATAAATAGCATACATTGGTGTTAATAGTTAAGGTACCTGAATGCATTTTTATGATTTGTAGTGTCACTGTAACAGCCACTTGTTCCATAGGGGAAGGTAAACCAAGAAACACATACAAACTGTAGGTTTAGAATAATCCATATTGTGCACAGAATCATACCTACATGTCTTGGTTACTGATCAGATAAAAACACACAAATCTATCATTAGTTGCACATAAAACCACACAACCAAGATTCACATAACTATCAAATAACAGAGGCCCTGCACCATAGAAGATACATACACCTCAAGAGCAAAAGACAACACATCCAAACAATCCTTATAACTAGCCAACCAGATATCATATACTGTATATTACCAGTTCTAGGGGGTGCACATTTTCTGGTCTCCCTCGCTCTGGTTACCCCTGATGTGCCTCCTCCAGGTGCCGTCCAGGTCTCTGACCTCCCATCCTTTAAACTAGTTAATCTCATGGACTATCATGGTGAATCTATGATTGGTCTAAGGCGCACAACCTTTCTGTAGAAAATGATTGGATGGTAACTGGAGACTCTTTGATAACTATTCCTCTTTTGATTGCATTTTCTGCTTAGCCTCCAGAGCCGTCTTGTCTCTGGCAAGTATATGCAAGTGCATTTGTTGAGTCCAGATCTACCCAGACATTCCAAAATTCCACCTGGGATATCATCACACCCTAACCATTTGCACAGTCAGCCATTTTAGCATATCAAAGCAACCTGACCTCAAGAAGATAACACCATTGTTATGACAGTAACTGACCACGCCATCACCCCTTGCTGTTGCAGACAAAGGGGCAATCTTACTTAGAATGCGTGGCAATTGGCTTCAGCAAACTAATGAGGTTACAAATTAGAAGTTCTAATCTAAACATGGGACTGGAAATAACAAAAACACGTCTTGGGGGTCAGAGTATAACTTTTCAATTTGTGGGTGGCTGGTTCATTTCTACTTCATAGCAGAATATAGAGCACTTTGGCCAGCGGTTATCTAACTACATAAACATAATATATTAGTGATGTCCCAATACAATTTTTTCAAGATCAAGTACTTTCCCCAAGTTACTTGCCAATACCAATTACTATTACTTTTTCTTAAAGTGACATGTGACTTTTCTAAAACAACACAGACTAAATGATTTTAGGGCAGTTTCTTTCTTTATAATTATGAAGAACTGCGACTCAATTCATGATTATTCAACAAAAGGAGAATGGGGACCAGCAATAGAGGTCTACAGACCCCATCAACCTGTGATTATACAGGGCTGCACAAGTCAGTGCAGGGCTCCAGTGCTAAATGGGTGGGCGCCGGGCTTTTTATGGACGCAGATCTCTTAAAGCCCATTCACACTAGATGCAGTGCGTACCGGCCCGATTCTGGCAAGAACGCACTGCCTCGCATTGCGGCCGGCTCACTTTTTAGTGGGGCAGGAGGGGGCGTGGCGAGCCTTTGAAGTGAATGGCGCCGTAGCCACACCCTCCGGTCGCAATGCGATCGCCCGCAAGGGATCACAAGGAACATTGTGCCTGCGGTCCAGTGCGATCAAAATAGCATTGCAGCATTTTTATCGCAGAGCGCGGGACCGCAGGCACAATGTAGCTAGTGGCTGGTCAGGGAGGCAATTGAAGCACTTCACTGCTCAAGTCACATCCCTCACCACTCCCCAAAAGCCATGTGTTATGTGCAGGTGCTGGCATGCTGCAAGGTAAGATACACACACACACACACACACACACACTGCAGCTTTTAATACATTTACACAACTCATTGCAGTGTGCAAATAGTTTTTTTAAGGTGGTTTTTAGTGGAATTTGTAAAAGGGACAATGAGCTTTAAATGGCTCCTGAGGGTTACAGAAACGATTCTGAACTAACATGGACCTCCTCGTGTGTCCCTAATTTAACCCCCCCCCCCTCTAAAAAACAAAACAAAACAAAACAAAAACCTTATACATCTATCTAGCTATATTGAGAGACAGGAAATAGGTACAACACTCCCTGGGTGTGAACAATCTGAAGAGGCACAGAGACCAGTCCAGTGATTTTTCTTGTGCTCAAATAAAACCAAAAATATCAAAGCAAAAACCTATCCACATCCCGGCACCAACTACACACAGACACAGTTCTAACTAGCAACCTGCACAAACCTAGTGTTTGTCAGGCAGCACAAGCCACAGGTTACCAACCTTAAGCAGCTCCAGCAGCCTCAGCCGGTCTGTTCCTCAGGCTCCAGAGCCTCACCTGTCTCCCTCACCTGTATTGATTGACTTTGCAGTTGAGGTGTAAAACCTGGGGCTGATTAGAGGTAGGACAGGAATATGGGTGATACATAAAGCTCAGACTTGACCTCTCCTGGCTCTCTACATGACTACCTGCTACAATAGTAATACATATACAAACCATGCTACTCCCAATTAGGTTCTTAAAGGTATATATCTATTTTTTTGGCAGGAAGTGAGAGGAAATTCCTCCAAAGAGAGGGGAATCCCTGATAGTCAGCAGGGTCACCAGAACTAGTGTCCCCATTGGAAGACTTCCCATCTATTCCTGTTCCGGTGACAACATTTGGGATTTTTACTTTCAGGGATAAGGGTCACCAGGACAAATAGAGAGGTTGAACGTCCCTGACGGGAACACCAACAGCACTATAAACCTAACAGGGAGTCTAGTCCCTGGCAAACTCTATCCAAAATTCCAATGAGAGGGAAATCCCTGGTGGTTAGCAGTGTCGCCAGAACTAGTGTCTCCATTGGAAGAGTTCTGATGACAACCCAAAAATTGGGGCTTTTCTGTAACTTGATAACATTCGCCAGGACACATAAGGGGGGGGACCTCCATAACGGGGACAGCAATACAAACCTGACAAGGGATCTGATCCCTCTGCAATCCATCCAAAACTAAAAAAAATAGCTTCACATGTACTTTAGGATGGGGCAGGGGATAGGCTGTGTTTATTCTAACTAACCCTGTCTGTACTGTGCTGGCAGATCTCATAATCAGTTGTAAACTAAATCTGATCACTGTCTGTCCTAATAAAGGGTTAAAGACATAAACATTGTGTGCTAATGAGAGAATGCTCAGTCTGTTCCCTAATTTGTCCCAGAGTAGCATGCAATCTGCACAAAGATCTTCACTAAAAAAGCACCTAAAAGACAATAAATATTTATTATTGCTGTTATTATTATTATGATTATTTTGTGCATATATATA